AACAGTACCGTTACATGGGGAGTGGGCGGGGTTGTCACCCGATTTTCACACCGTAGGTAGAGGTGTTAAAAACATTTGCTTCCAATGAATTTTGTTATTATAGCTTTAGTAGTTTAGGAGATATGCACATTAAACCTATTAGGGGCCGGACCACGCCCACTTAAAAAAAAAATTTAAGTGCAGACGCCCCTCCCTAATGTGATCTCGTGTACCAAATAACAGTCTTGTATCTTATTGCGGAGCTTAGTTATGACAATTTATTTGTTTTTGATTAATGGCGTTTTGTGGGCGTGGCAGTGGTCCGATTACGCCCATCTGCAATAAAAACCGTCTTACTGTACCAAGAAACATGTGTACCAAGTTTCATAAAGATATCTCAATTTTTACTCAAGTTACAGCTTGCACGTACGGACGGACAGACGGACGGGCAGACAGTCACCCGGATTTCAACTCGTCTCTTCATCCTGATCATTTATATATACATAACCCTATATCTAACTCGATTAGTTTTAGGTGATACAAACAACCGTTAGGTGAACAAAACTATTATACTCTGTAGCAACATGTTGCGAGAGTATAAAAAAATAATAAATTTATGAAAATCATTCTTTTAGATCTAACTAAAATAAGATTTAAGAATTATTGATATAAAGCGAACCGGAACTTTAAAAATCTTATATTAGGTATATGATAGATGGGGGTAGTATTGAACCGCTTTATCCATTTTTGCTATTACCAGATATTATTAACAGAAAAAGATGATATCTGAGTTTGATTAAGGTACCTCACATACCATCATACAATATATAGCGGCTAGGACAAGTTTTCACCCGATGTTTTCCATTTTATGCACAGAGATACATTGTTATTAGATAACTCACATACTGATCGATATTTGCGGTACAAAGTCAGCCGGAAGTTCGAAAATTTTTTCTATTATAAGGAATTTTATGAGGACATTCTCTAAGTTTCTATTATATACCTCACAGGTTGCCCGATATTTTCGATAAAAATTTTGCAATAGGAACTGGGGTTTATATATTCGGTACCTGGGGCCTTTTTGGTGGTGGTACACCTTAAAGACACTATTCGTGCAAAGTTTTATCCGAACACATTGATTGATTCTTGATTAATACACTGGAAAATGAAAGAATCAGACGGAATTTAAAATTGTGTTATACGGGCAGTAGGCGTAGTTTTTGTCTGAATTCGCTCATTTTCACACTGTGTAATATCATTATAATGCTACATACCGAATTTGGTTGCATCCAACTTTTAAACATTTTTTAGCTCACAGGTGCCACTTGCTACCGAAATCCTCTGTGCCATATTACAGTTTTATATATTTATTTAGCGCTTAATTATGGTATTTTGTAGGTTTTCATATAATCTCGTTTTGTGGGCGTGGCAGTGGTTCGATTACGTCTACCTACGAACTCGTTCTTATTTTAAAATTTTTATGAGTAAAGAAGAAAAGTATCGCTTCGAACGTAAAAACATGAGTAGATCACAAAAGGACATACATATGTTGCTGGTCTAGAGCAGCTCATATTCTGCGATAAACCATATTGTAACCTCACCGCATTTGGGTCAGTTGGGCAGTGTTCAGTCAGAACGCCTACCAAGGCGGCTTAATGAACTTTGCTAAGACCAAGTAGTTCAGAGGACTTCGTGCGTTCCACTTTAGGCCAGAAGTATCTCGCAGCGGCAAAACTTTTGGTTTTTAACCAACACTTGCCAAGCTCACGCGAGGTCTATAGAGCACAAGAGGACAGCAGAATGCCGACTCGTTGCCACTGTGTTGAAACTGTCTGCGAGCTCAAAATCAGCATTGGAATTTTGCTATCGAATTGAATGTACACCTCTGAGAAATAAGCTGCACTTCGAGGTAGTACATCTTTTGCTACATTGTTGGCAGCCACCTCCGCTTGAAAGATACTGCACTGGTCTGGTAGCCTTAAACTAGATTTGATGGAGAGCTCCCAACAGAAAACTGCCTTTCCCTCGCACATATTCCCTCAGTTTCGATCTATTCGTGAAATAGCTCACTGCACCGCTTCTCCAGCGGCTTCGCTCTGCCCACATGTCCTACTCACGTTTATGCGCAAAGAAGGAAGCGGCTGCCAAAAGTTCCACAATGCCTGCATTTGCCCACTTGGTTACTATACATTCAGTACCCTTGAGTAAGATATAGACAGTGTTTAGGAATTTTACATTGTTACATTGTTTGTGTAGGAAATTACCACCATATCCTTCAATAGGTCGTGCATAACCAGGATATAGAGTAAGAGAGATAGAACGGCGCTTTGCGGGGTAGCTCTATTTAGATAGATAGAAATAATTTGAGGATTGCCTGTGACTTAAGGTCTATTGTGCCCTCCCCTCTGTCACAACGAATCACATAAGCATTCTGCTTGGAAAATGCTTCGAAAACGTTTCATAGGTATGTGGCTTTGACCATATACAAATTTTTGATGATCCATATACAAATTTTTATCTCGTTATCTTCATTTGTGCTTGATTCGTATACTGTAAAGTTAAAGGATCAGATGGAATTTACAATTTTCATGTATGGGAAGTAGATGTGGTTGCGTGCTCATTTCCACACTATAAATTAAAAATGTCAGGATAGTGTCATGTACCGAATTTTAATGACATTGGTTGCTCCTATGAAGCTACCTAGCCTAGTGAGTTATCCCACTTTCAGTAGTTTTCAATCTAACCGGTATTTGGAGAGTGAGTGGTCGAAGGAGATGCCACAAAATATCTGTCTCGAGCAATTTGGTTGATATAGCTTAAATTGTTTGTGAGGTATGTACATTAAACCTGCCCAAAATTTTTTATCTTAATTTGGAGCTTAGTTATAGCCTTTAATGATATTTTGTGGGATTGGCAATAGTCCGATTACGCTCGCCCACAATACATTTTATCAAGGGATACAAAGATACAAAATTTCATTATGATATCTTAATTTTTACTCAAGTTATCGCTTACACAGATGGATGGAAGCACTGTGACTCGTCTCGTCATCATGATCATTTATGTATATTAAACCCTACATCTATCTCGATTAGCACAAGTAAAAAGAGCAAAAAAATATTTATAATGATAAGAAAATTCAACCCTTTGTGGTAATCAAATATGTCTTTTTCGTATTACATCTGATAGTTGTAAAAATATAACTACACATTCAATGTCATTTTTATTGTTCCTAATTTACATATTAGCGAACCCACTTAATGCACTTGCTGATGGATAGTGGGAGCGAAGCAACATGCAGCGGTCTCGATCCAACCACAATGTCCGTCGTTTCAACATGATTTCCCGTTCCAGAGTGCTACGTGTTTGCATGAGACCAGTTTTGATATTTTCTGCTGCATCCAACTCAGATAACATGGCTGTGACTCCGCTTTGTATTGTTGACACTTCGTCGATGAGATCTTGCTGAGCAAAATCACGACAATTCTCAACATTAGGCCTGAAGCTACGATTATCCACGCGAGTTTGAGCCACTTTCATAGCTGCATCAAAGCTACGAACTGCACGATGTAATTGAACAATACGTGTCTCAGTATCGGCTAGCTTTTGGAGGCACTGAATGTTTTGGAAAAGAAAACAAACATTATAAATCAGAGATAATAATTATTTTTATGGTAATACGCCTACATCGCGCAGCTCATTTTCAAATCGTTGTAGATTTTCTTGAGTGCAATTTATGCGGGCAATAAACGCACGTTCTACCACATCTGCCTGATTGCGTATATCACGAGCAGCATTCATCAAGATATAATTGAGTGTTTGTCGTAGTTTAATAGATTTTTGTCGACATTTCTCACATTCCTCCAATGTTTCTTTGCTGAAATGCTCCCAGTATTGTTCGGATGCTTGCCTGAGAAAAGTGATCACATATTTTTTTATCCTTTTTATACTCATATTATTATTATTATTACTCACTCAGGTGGCTGGCGTATTGCCCCAGGCCGAAACATTATTGTTTTCGAAAAGTTATTAAGTCCCACATTAATTGTATCAATTTCATAAGCCTCTTTTTTGTCACTCCAATCATATTCAAGGCGTTGTCTTGCTGTACGATTTTCTACCTGTTGTTGTTCAAAATCTTCCAATGTTTTTTTAAGCTGCTGTCGTATCTCTGCAATCAGCGCCAATTCATTAATAAGCTCTTCCTCAGGCGTGTCTCGAACCAATTCGGTATCGGGTCGCCCTGCACGCTTCTCTATACACTCTTTAGCTAAAATACCGTAAATATTCCACATTATTAAGCTTGTTCAAAAACAAAACCTAGTGCTTTAAAAATTTTTAAAATTTTCAAACTGAAAATTGAAGTAAATTTTAACCTGTGTTTGTGGATTTGTACGAAATAAAGAAGTGTAAAATATATTTTGCGGCCATATTTTATTAATAAACGTGTCGTGTGTGAATTATGTATTCGTTGTAAAGCGAATTCGTAGAACGATTGAGCTCTTATTACTAAACTAACTTACATATGTATAAGTATTATAAGTCGCATTAGTAATATAAATAACAAAAGTAGATGTGAGTCAACCAAAAGAACGAAATGCATTATATTGGGTAAATGGGAGGTGGTGTAAGCAATATCGATGTTACACGATAATTGAATTTCATTACAGAATTTCTAATAGTAAACCACTAATTTTCTCACTACTTTAATGAAGCACTTGCCTATCGATTCAGGAACACCCAAAATAACCAAGGATTTTTTTAATCGGATTCGTTCCTCTTCCAAGGTACTGATTTCATCTGCCATACTTTTTATAGCCGTTTCCAGCGTAGTCTTCCACTTGCCTACAAGTTGGGAGCGTTGTTTTAAATTTTTTGTTGTTTCCGCCTGTGTCTTCTCGACCATCGCACTAATACGCATAAATGCAGTTTTCGAGTTGTACTGGTTTCTATTCGTATTTAAATAAAAACGTTATTGGGATGTATATAATAATTTAATGAGAAATACTTAATAGCTTTATCAAAAATATCATTGGTTTTTTGTAAAGTCTCCTTATTTTTTTCGCGCCATTCATTGGAGCTGAATCGTGTTATTGAATAGCGGTCTACAACCGGGCGTGTGCCTGTTAAACCAGCCATAGGACTCCAATCCACTTTTCCTGTAGCCCATGGGCCTACGGGACCCATCGGTTTGAGCAGATCTTTAGAAGGAAGCTCATCACCCGATTGTGGAAGATAGCATGGGGGATTCTCGAATTCGTCTACCTTTGGATTGAATGACAGCTATAAAAATGGGAATTTATATACGAAGGTCTTATCTTCTCTTTTAATTTAATTTACGGCTATGTTCAATTCATTATTTTCTGGCAGCTGCATAGCTGTATCCATTCGTTTACACTCATCATTTGAGGTTAGCTTCTGAAAATATTAAATTATTAAGAAAGAGACCAAAAGTACTGTGCTCATAGCTAAACATACATTATCCACCTGCTCAACAAATTGAGTATTGCAAGAGTCAGCTTCCATTTGGAATTATAAAAAAAATATGTCTCGTATACACAAATAAAACTAATCAATTTATAATTTCACACATAAATTTTTTCTTTAGAAAGTATTATTTTGACATTCTAAATATATTTTAATTTGGTAACTAAGCATTTTCATCGAGCACATGCGCATGACGAAATTTTCCAGTAGTATCTCTAAGCAAGTAATCAATCTAAATAACGAGCGAATGGGGATCATTTAGCCAAAGAAAAGGTGGTGTGAGCACTTTCATAGGACAAAACTAGCAAAAGCCAAGCAAGTTAATCCGCCAGGAAAATTCCCTGATATTGAGGGAGAAAAAGTTTAATATGAAAAATATCGAATTGGAAACTGTCTTAATAATTTACTTTGAAGTGTTTACACCACTCTTACACATTTCAATATTTTTTCAGAGTAAATTGGAAAAATATATTGTTTTAATTTTTCTTCCCTTAGTTCAAATTCTGTTGGGTATGCTGGGTGAGCGGCGACCACGCGATTTTTCTCTAATACTTACATATATTATATTTTCAAAATCGTGATATCTTTTGAATGGACTGTCCGAATCGAATAATTCAAAAAGTTATAAAAATCATTGAATCAGTCTTGAATATGAAGTAATTAATATTGATAAGGATAAATATCAAAATACAAATATAACATGACGTAATTATAACAGTTAGACTTAGGTGACCACATTTTTTCCGGCAAAATCCGGGACGGTTTTTTTGTCATCGATTTTTTCCATATTATAATTCACTGAAAATCGCAACATATAATAGAGCAACACAATTTTATTGAAAAATGATGGAAATGATAAAAGAGAAGGAAAGAAATATTAAAAATGATTAAAATTTTCAATCGCTGTCTGGTTTGATCGTTTGTATATCAGTTGATGAAGTGGAGGGTGTTTCCGGAATTGTTGAAGACGTCTTCGGTCTGACGTATTTCTCTTATTGACTGATTTATCGAAGAAGCTCGGGGTATGATTTTAAGTGAGTAAAAAATTCCAACAAGAAAATTTTAAATTATTCTTCACAAATAAAACCGACTTCACGGTGCTGACTTGTAGGCGAGTTTTTTCGCATGTAAATATTCTGTTAATGGTGGAAAATATGCGTTCCACTAGTGCCGAAGTTCCTGGTAGTGTCAGAGCATCGGTCTCTGAAAGCTCAACAAATGGTATGTTTTGTTTCAACAATTTGAACCCAACGTTTGTCAACGGATGTCTGCTATTTGCTCCATTCATCAATTCGTTAGACACCTAGATACTGAGAAAAATAAGTGAATTGTTCGAGCAGCTTATGTGAAGTAGTGTCTGCATTCAAAATATTATTTTTTGTGAGGAAAATAAACGTTTTCTCAATTTTTGCACAGTTGAGTTCATCAGTAAGTAGCACCCAATCAAATAGTTTTACATGTGCAAACTGTTGAGTCCATAAGATATTTGTAGCAATCACCTGATTGACATATTGAAGATAATTAAAAATGAGAAATCGAAAATTGAGGTGTGAAATAAAATATTTACTTCGAAATTATTTCGCTTCTACTTCAAATTCGTTCAAGTCATAGTTTTCTTTCTTCAGGTTCTCCATTTCCGCTTTTACTTGCGTTGGTTGGTTCATTAAATGTTGCAAGTGTTTGTAATTTGCAATTGCTGGAATATCGTCGCCTTCAATTTTCTTTATTGTTTCTTCGAAAATCATGGCCTAAAATTAATGAGATAATAATTAAATAATTTCTCGATTTTCGAAAAATTTTAGGTAATAAAAATATATTTTCACCTGTTCATGAACAAAAATTAGCCAAGGTTGGAGCATTGAATGATTTTCCCCAAAGCTTCTCTCAAGCCAATGAACCGAGTTATGCAGTAACCAACCAATTGGTCATATTCCTCTTCTAAAGTCTCGCAGATTGGCTTTAATGCTTCTGTAAGAATGGTTTTTTTTTATCCGAAGGGGGAATCTTCTGAAAGATACTGCCACTAGTGACAGCATGCACGATTCATACCGTACGCTAAGTGCACCTCTTTCGGGACCACGCCCGGTCCACATTTTTTAATATGCCGAACTCGCGCAGCGGTACGCCTACGTGCTAAACCCTTAACTCCGTCAGCTTCGTATGTACCTTGCGGGACTACCGTAAAGTATTTCTTCGCAAGGTTAGCTTAGCCTATGGGCTGTTCCATCTCAGTGTACTCATGCTCTATCTATTGCTCTCATTTCTCTCTTTCGCAGCCGTTCTGCTCTTCTCAGCTCTATTAAAACTTTTGCGGCCAGGTCTTTTACGGCGAGCCACACCTGCTCAGACCGCAGCATATATGCATACTAAGTTATCCGATGATACGGGTTCTGCTATCGGTTGTTCTAGCAAGGTCCTTTCCACATTATATCGCGGGCAATAGAAAAAAATGTGTAGACCATTCTCATTGCTATTACCACAAAAGGAACACGTCACTCCGTTATCATGGCCATACTTGTACAGGTACTCTCTAAAGCAGCCATGGCCAGTTAATAATTGCGTCATATAAAAGTCCGTTTGTCCGTGCTTTCTTTCCACCCAGGTTTTCACATTTTTGATAAGCCGGTGCGTCCACCGCCCTTTGGTTGTTTCGTCCCAACGGTTTTGCCACTCGTTTAGACTTTCTTCTTTTTGTTCCTCTATTGTCAATGACCTGCTGAGTATTTTGCTGGTATCGTATATTCGTTTGAGCTCAAGTGACAGTATATCTGGTGGCATTATATCGGATATAATGCTAACAGCTTCTTGCGATACTGTGCGGAATGCACTGGCTACTCTGATGGCGCTTAGTCTGAACATTGAAATCACCATTTTGGCATATATTTTATAATAACAAGGCTTGTGCCCATACAGGTGCCGCATACAACATAACTGATTGGCTGGCTTTTGCTAAGAACCTTCTCGCTTGATTTGGTCCACCTATGTAGCCTTGCACTGCGCTAGTGCGAAATCACTCGGGCAGCTTTTCGCAGGTTTTTCAATATGCATCTGTAGTTGAGTCTCGCATCGATATGATACCCAGGTACTTTAGAGATGGCTGAGTTCTAATTTCATGCCCGTCAATGTTCAGAGTAATGGTCTCTAGTTTTTTCTGCTCGAGATCAGGACTGTGCTTCGTCTTCTGCCCCGCCAGCAGTTTTGACGCGTCGAGCCAGTTTTAATTTTCTGAGACGTAGCACACGCTTTGGATTTGTGCAGCTCTTTTGCTACTATTGCCACAGCAATGTCATCCGCATATCCAATTATTTTCGCTTCTTTTGGTAGAGGGAGGCGTAATATTCCATCGTATAAGATATTCCATAACATTGGGCCCAAAACAGAGCTTGTGAAACTCCACCAGTTACTGACAACTTTTCACCCTCCTCAGTGCGTATAACAAAAGCCTGTCGGACAAGTAAAATCTTATAATCCGCAATAAATATACCGAAGGTTCTTCAGCTCGTATTATGTGGCCAGTATGCTGAATTAAACGCATTTTTCACGTCGAAAGTAATGATTGCGCAGTATTATTTTGTGCCATGCATCCACCTAGTACCTTCAATTGCTTTATCTGCTATTCCGGTCAGCTTCTTGACTGCGTCGATAGTCGAGCGCTTCCGAAACCCTTTTGGTTGCTAGATAAGCCATCTTCAACTCTTTCCAGGTGTGCTTCAAGACGTTCACAGATCAACCGTCTCAGAATTTTCCCATGTGTCTATCATGCACAGTGGTCGATATGCAAGGATCCCAACTGTTTTGTTTGGCTTCTGTAATAAGACCAAACGTTGTTTTTCCATATTTTGGGAAAATACCATCGGTTAAGCACTTCGTAATAGCTGGATGAAGCATTTAGGTTTTGCTTAGTGCATCTTCAGAGCACGATTTGGGATGCCATCCACCGGTGCTAGCATTACCGCAACGTGTAGCAGCATATAACCTCCATATCGACACTGGTATAGCTATGCGGTCTGATTCTTCGGGAGAAACCGCTCTTTTCGCGTGGGCTGTGTTGTAAAGAGTGTTTCCACAACACTTTTCAGAAGGGCTGGGCAGGTTGGCGCTTTCCTTTAGGACCTCGAACTTTGAACGACCAGCTTGTACGCACCGCCCCAGGGATTTTCATCGAGTTTGTTACAAAGCTCTTTGAAACACACAGCTTTGCTATTTTTAATATCTTTTTCAGTTGCTTGCGTTTGGCCTTGAAATTTTCACGTAAACAATCTTGACCTGCCGAGCCTGTACTTCTCTGGTACTGTCGCCCTCTTTATTACAATCAGCTCGCATGTTGGATATCATTATTCCACCAGTATGCTGGCTTTCGTTTGGGGTGTTGTTCCAATCATGGCAGCGTCACAGGCTCTCCAGATATGTGAACAAGCAACTTAGCCTGTTGGTTGGTCTTCTGATTCGGGTATGTCTTCATTCAATACGAGTTTGAATAAATCCTCATCGATTGTGTTTTCCTTCCACCCTTTAGCTTGTACCTTTTTTCACGCGCACCTCTTCTTTGTCTTACGAGCAGTTGCTACATCTATTATAATTGCGAAATGGTCACTGTGTATGTAGTGTCACACACTCGCACTATGCCGTCGTGCCAGAGATTTACTGGCAAACGTTATGTCAATATGGAACCACGACCATTTTTTTCGAATGTGTTCCTAAAGCCCGGTTTAACAGGACAATATCAAGTAGCCGGAAGGCTTTCAGTAACGCATTTCCTCGCTCTGTTTGGCTTCTGCTTCCCCATTCTAAGGCCCATGCATTGAAGTCTCTATTATGTTTGGTTGCGTGGGCATCCCCAACCAACTCATCGAGAACCTTTTGAAGACCGACTGTGGAAGGCTTGAACAACTGTAAAAGTGTATTCCGCCGATTTTTACTCTCGTGTAGAAGGATTTATGTGTCAGTTTTGTCCTGCATCATTTTATCCGCAGGTCCAGATTGCTGCATTTTTGGTGCTATCAGAAACCCACGTATCAGAGCTCAGGTTTTGTATTGCTCACATATTATTACAACATCGACGTTCCTTGTCTATTTCGCCAAGGTAGTAAAGCATTAACATTTCGCGGAAATACTCAACTCTGGCCAAATCTGTTAACCTTCTATACCGAATAATAGGCAGTTTAACTGTTTTCACAAAACCGCTACGTCTTTAGAGGCATGACAACCGCTTTCTGGTAAATTATCGTCTCTCTCTTCTTCATGATCACTATCTTGTGCTCTTCTACTAGATTAAAATATTTATACCTAGATGCAAAATCAGCAACAAAGAGTTTCTAACGATCGGATCTTTGAACATAACGGTCTAAAATACCGGCTACGAATATTTCAGTCGAACCTGAAGGAAGGTCTGACAGTTCCGCTCTAGGTTTACCATTCGAACACGTTCCTCAGGTCGGGAGGTCTTATAAATATTTCGCATTACTTGCTTCCGAAAGATGTAGCCAATGCAGCAATATACTGCTTGTGCAGATATTTCTGTGCCTGATATAATTGACCTATATGTTTAAGTTTTTAATAGTATAATTTCCAGCATTTACTGCTCTGATATAGCTTCATTTAAGAGCCTAGATACTCCTGTTAGACTTGTTAATATAATTATATATACGAACAGCAAGCATATGCATCCAGTATATATCGGATATCCATATTTGCTCTATGGAGTTCCAAAATCAGAAGATTATAAGTGTTTATAAAACGATCCTGTAATTTTCTTTTAGAAAAATTTTGGGTTTGTTAACTTGACCATAAGCTAACAAATAGTCATCAAAAGACATATTTATTCTACTATCAGACAGGAAGTGTTCAAAACGTTTAAATTAGAAATGTCTTCTGTAGTCATATTTGAATTTAAAACGTTTTGAATTTGAAAAAGTTTTCCTGTGTCTTTCTGAATTTAGATTCTTTTCTGTAAGAGGTAACAGTATTTGCGTTGAAGGCATTGGTGGATATGGTATGTCAAAACGACAAAACTGTTGTCCTCTTATTTCCCTAGTACAAGACCGACTGTGGTTTGCTTTTGATAACCCAAATAATTTTCTAAGTGGCTGATCGAACCATCGGTAGAAATAATTGTCAATAAAACTAATGATATCAGGGAATGTCTGAGGATCTTGAAGGTTAATCCTGGGAGCATTATTAAGCCAATACATGCCATGTACATGCGGGGACCACTCTCCAGTAGAAATTGTAACAAAATGCTCTCCAAAATGCCGGCGTTATCTTTATGCTTAAGAATTTGTCGATAGCGGTAGTCAAAATATCTAGCACAAGTAACCGCGTCTGACCGAATAAGCGATATCTATCTTGGTTGTTAAACTGTTCTTCCTCTTCCGAAATATCTTTAGAATCAAGTTTTAGAGAGAATGACCAGCTCAACCCACTGAGATTCTGCAGCCGATAAAGTGATAAAGAGGTTGGAAGCCCAAAGTGAATCAGCAATTGCCTTTTTCTTCTCAGC